GTGTGTGTGTGTGTGTGTGTGTGTGTGTGTGTGTGTGTGTGTGTGTGTCTGCTCGGGTATTTCAAGCCGGTTTAAGTATTGAAAATATGTTATATGTATGTGTAAGTTTACACATGCATGTATGTGTGTATTACCATATATCTTCATTTATAAATGCGTTTGCACATATGTGTGTGCGTGTATGTATGTGTGTGTATGTGTGCAAGACATGCAGGTCGTGCAAATACCGCATTGAGAGCTACGTTTTGCATCGGGTTACATGCACCGGCGCCATGCAATATAAGGTGCATAAATCTAGTGAGAGTTTCCTCCGTAAAGGAGAAGATAAGGATTAAATGACAAGGAACATAGAAATCTTAAACCGCGCGTATTTCTTCTCAGTCACTGTTATAAGAATTGAACGAAAAATCACGATGATGCCTAAACTGACGTGCTATGTCTATAAGATGGTTTTCGGTTTTTTAACGCCTAGCTCCTTGTAGTACGGGTAGATTTTTTTGTTCGCCAGTACGGGCATTCGTTTGGGACCATCCGCAATGCTTCTCAGTGTATTAGTCATTGGTAATACAAAAAAAGGAACAAAGGAGTAAGGAATACGCTCGATCTGCGGTAGCGTTGAATTGGTCGGCGAAATAATAGCATTTGTTGCAGCTAAGGCTCGTGATGATGGCACAGACATGCCGTATTCGTTCGATGCGGTTACATATACTATGTAACGCGTTGCTGAGCGCAGATCTTTGAGCGTAACGCAAGTATCTGTTGTATTTACCTGCAAATTGCGAGAATCAGCCTTCACCGTTCGTCGCTTTGCATGCGATGCTCCTGAACAAAAATTTTTGCCCAGGTGCCATGTAATCAACTTTTACAGTGACCAGGCGTATTCGAAGAAACTGAAAATTTTCAGTGCACCTTCTTCACCGTTACAAACGATGTGAGGCATAATCGATGAGCTAGCTAGTCCTAGAACAGTGGTGAGCCTAGGAGGATGATGTGACCATGCATTTTTTGTTACAAGCTGTTACGCAAGTTGGAATACACAAAGTTCAGGAGTTTAATTTTACAAGGTTAGTCTAAATTTGGGCTTAAAGTAATAGGTCAAAATATGGGAAAGTCTGAGAAATGATTTTTGCGATTTCGTTTCGAATCATCTGGTATGTGATTTTATAAATTACCAGTTGATGGCTTTTCTAGTTCTTAAGTCAAGAATTCTCAATTAACTCGCGCTGAGATGCTAAGTCAAGATATAGCAGAGACTGGATGTTAATTTCAGAGTATTTGCTTCAAATCATTCGGCAAATTAATCTGTCAAAATTTTTCGTGACTTTTTTTTTTTTTTTGATTATTGAGTCTGGACTTGGACCTAAAGTCCTAGGTCAAGGTACACTAACGACTGGAATGCCCATAGGCGCAGATGTTTCACAACCTGAGAATGTCTCGAGATCTGTTACTGACTCTCAGCATTGCTCTTAAACGGAGCAGTAATGAAATTACTTCATCAAACTTGAATTCGCGAACAGTGGAGTCGTTGGTGGATGAGTCATGAGTGACAAAAAGCCATGTCTGTCGCTTTCCACGTTTCAGTGTGCCGACCTCAGACGTTGTAGCATCGCTACTAGCATCGTCTTCAGCCATTCCGCTCGGTATGCTTTCCTCATAGTCGCCCGAAAGAAGCGGTATACCACTGCAATGATTACATGAGTCTAAAATACTGATTAATTTTTTAATGCTTAATCCTTGCCGTTTCACATCAAAGCTGCACCAAGTTTGAATTACTGAACGGATTTTGACGTGAAACTGACAGATCGCTGTGCCAGTACTCGAAAGCTGAACAAAATCAAAGCATAAAAACTAAAAGCACACCTGCACTAAAACTGGCAGGCTAAAAAATGCACGTGCATGCATGCAAACCTGCATAGCGCTACAAGTTTCAACCTCAAAAATGACAGATAAAGTAAAATCATCTGTTTTGGCGCTTGTTCCGGAGCCCAACGATCAGTCCTCGATATACATTCTTTGAAATGTTTAATGAAAGATACAACGTCCACGTAGAGACAATCGAAGTTTTTTCCTAGATTTGTAACTTTTCTTCATTATAAGGATTATTCAGCTAAAGACCGAAAAACTCGCCCTAGCTCTTTTGCGTTCATAAAACAAACCCTTGTAAAGCTCCAAGTTTCTGGAATTTTAGCAAATTTCTATTTTTCTACTCTCGAAAATATCAATTCTTTAATTCCAGCGGTTACTAGTACTACTTTTATCTGTCTGACCAGCATGATGCGTTTGTACGCTGATACAGTATTTTAGTTTTACTAGCAAATGAATTGCCTCGAAAAAAAAGCAAAAGCTGAGTAATTTTCGCGCATTTGCTGAAATGCTTAGCATAAAATTAAGTTTTCAAAAAGGTATCAAGCCATAAAAGTCAACGCATGAAGAAGACAAAGATAAATACTCACTCATCGCCGCCCAAAAACGGAAATGACGGTATCTGCTTATAGTAGACTGTATAATGATCAATTTCAAGATGCTTATTAGAAGTCTGAGGCTGCGGTGGACGCCAGCACACCCGTAATTCGTCTGATCCAACTGCATTTACAATGAGATCCTGTGGATGCTCAGGATACGGCACTGAAAAACATTACATTTTCCAGCCCATTTTTGTCTTTACCGCGGGTGAGCTCTATGCATAAGTAACTTACGATATGCACGATTGTAACATTCAAATATCTCCGGAAGATAATACAGACAAAGCCGATGGGATTTGCGTAACATCTGGAAATTCCCCGAGCAAAAATCATAGCAGAATGAGGGCACAAGTTGTGTTTTACAACACTGCACATGACTCCTGTTGCCACCTTCCGTCGCACACGATAAAAAATTCTTATAATCATCTGTTTTGCAACTGAAATAGACTAATCAAGTTCATATTTAGTAATTTGAAGCTTTGACTAGCTGCAGTTCACAGCGTGGTTCTCCAACTATACAGCTGATAACTTTTCTAGTTGCGCTGGTCATTACTGCGCCGCGCGATGATCAGGTCTGCTGGCGATCCTGACGCTTGTTTCGTCTATTGTACGAGTTATTAGTCCTGGAATACCTTGGCCAGAAACACTCAGAACTGCTTTAATGCTCCGAGATATCATTGGTGTTTTTTGTTGAGTACCTCAACTGATGCCACTCCTAGGCTTTAAGTTTAGCACAAAAACGCATGACCGCACTGGCAAGCCTG